GAATAGCATCTATCCAACAAAGCTGGGGTTTCATTCTGCCAGAAGTTCTTATGAATAGCATCTATCCAACAAAGCTGGGGTTTCATTCTGTCAGAATTTCTTATGAATAGCATCTGTCCAACAAAGCTAGCCACACTACTGGCAATAGTGGAGGATACCGTTACGGTTAATTCTTTATTTTTTTGTGGTGGGTGGGTGGAAGGATGTAATCAGTGTTTATGTATAAAGAATACATTTAAAGACTTTAATTAACTGAGTTATCAAACTTAGTCATAAACATTTCATATAGAGAAAGTATTCTTGATGAACAAGTATCATTTTATTCGAAAACGCTTAGCACATTTATTTGGATCAAATATTTTATTGTTCTCTATACCTATTATCGACAAGACTACAAAGGATAAAAGTGAGGAACAAAAACTGCGCATGTCATGACCGTTTACATTCAACACGGTATTACGTATTTCTTGTCAGAGTTACGAGCTATTCATATTACATTGCATTGTTGTTTAACAACAGTTCTCGGTGGAGTAGAGTAAATACCGGATACAATATACAAGGATACTTAGCAAAAACTGTAGATATGCAATTCAGAGGTTCTAGAGGGTATGCAAATACAATATATAATCTATAGATTGGACGAGAGTATCTTCATTCTTCACATGAACATCACCTTGCACTCTGACGTGTCAGAGTCTGAGTGAGGCTGACGTCGCCAATTCACAGACGTATCTTGAGCACAGATACTTTTGTAACACATGTGATTTTTATTTGTACAACAGACTTGTACATTTTACTAACGTTTTCCACATTTCAAGTATATACACGAAGTAAATTGGGAATGATCACGTAGTGAATTGGGAATGATAATCCACATTCCTTCTCTACTACACACGTTAGGTTAACCGTTATTATATTTAATAGCTATTAAGATATAGACGCTTGAGGGATTACACTTCTAAATGTATTATCGATCTCTTGTGGAGAGTCTGTCGAAAGACTGTCAAATTATGTTATCTATGATTGTCTATATTTTCAATGCATTCTCTGACCATGACGCTACATTACACCTTCGATACACTTTGGATGTCTAACAACTGTTTGTTATAATAGCTTTTATATTAAAGTTTTTCTTCATTACCCATTCAAGCCGTCTCCAGCCATTATTAGTCTCAAAGTGGGTTCCTCGTCATCGAACTGTTTGTTATATTTTACAATATTGTTGGAAACGCGAATTTTCTTTAATATTTTTAATATATAGATAATTTCACCCGGAAATGGGAGTATAAACTGATCAGTGGAAATTTTAGTTAATGAATTTAAATATCAGTGGAAACTTCAATGCTGTGAATAGGAAACTTGGGACAGTGTCAGGGGGTTTCGTAATAGGATATAATAGGATTTAAAGAACAGATCACATTTATATTTTGTTTTACTGGAAAAGTTACGTTTAGGGAACACGTGCAGTTGAATAGTCTGTTTAAGTCAGTTATATCTGACAAAAAATCAAACAAGTACCTAAATAGCTTTACTTTAAGCTGTTTTTTATATACTTCCAACTCGTTAACCTCTAGAAAAGATTTATTTACAATGGTTGGTTGAAGTCTAAGTTCCATCACAAGTGGCAAGCTTTCCAGTCGAACTTTTCTTTTCTAGCCTTGGCGTTCTCTGATCTTTGTGATATTTTGTGGGGAGCTGACTGAGATGATCAAACATAAAGAATGTATAGATTTAATATAGATTTTTACGGTTTGCTTAAAAATAAACCATTTCTAGAAATATATTCACTCAAATGCATGGCATTTAAACTAAATAACGGATGTGTGTGGTTACGTAGTTCTCCCCCCCCCAATGTTAATCACAAACTAAGGGGGGGGGTTACTAAGTTTTCAGGAGTATAATTATAATCTAAGATCGAGGGCAATAATTATTTAATAACGTACCATTCTGAAACTCTGAATCTACCACATAATTGAATAATTTACATAATATGGTCGAAATACGTTACGATTGAAATACTTACCTCCATCAGCCTCGCAGATCAGTAACAGCGATGTGCCTTCACTGTAGGGACCAATTAAATCTTTTAGTCTTTGACCGTATTTGTCCATTATGATTGTTTCTCTAGGAGGAACTGAGAAAGACACCAATTTGAGAAATTACAGAAACATATTTCCAAATACAAGTCAGTGTTATAGGTCACATGTCACATCTTAGTTACTTTATATTACATCATCTACATGAAGACAAAGAGTAATGCACTGTTATCTCTTGGACTGGGCGTGGCCTAGGGGTTAGCGTGTCCGAATGTCAATTGAAGGGTTCATGGTTTGCGTCCCCTTGTCTCAAAAACATGCTTCACATTATAGGGCTTTGGATGCGCTATAAAAGTGACAGTGAAACTCGCTATTTGGTCAAATATGAGTATCTGAAAAGTTGGCAGGGAGTTCAGGCAACTAACTGCCTTCCTTATATTATCTTAATTTAAAGTTAGAGACGGTTATGCGCAAATAAACTTTTCGTAGCACTGCCCGAAAATCTTACAAAACAAACTTTTCACGTGCAAGTTTTATTGCACATCCAAGAAAGATAAAATAACGTCATTGTTGACTGAGCCAGTACGTGTTTCGAACAAACAAATGTGTAATACCCTTTGTTGAGTCAATAATGAATGACATGTTTAAAATCATTACCAGTCTTATTGCGAAGCATAATATAAAACAAATGCCACTAATAAAGGCAAGGTTTCATCTGATAAGATGTTACACACACTAAATGTTGATCTTTAGAATATTAAGGTGTTTCAGAGTAGTTTCTTAATACATTACGGACAATTTTAACACAATAACTCGTGATCATTCTCCTTAACACGAGAAGCGAGCGTTTTTGGTAGATGGTATCATTCAAAATGTTTGACTAAAACAATGTTTGCTAAAGCGCTACAACTCGGAGAATGAACTACAAATCAGACCAAGTAGCACAAATAATACTAAGAAGTTCCCGCCTGAACCTGAAAATACGAGGGAATACTGTATTCTGATTTCGTATGAGTGTGTATACACTTTTAATTTATGAGATATAAGGCAGCTATATGTGATATATATATATAAATACATGCGTTACGTCATTCATACAACATTACGCTGACATCGGTTTCGAATGAATTATACAATTATAGTTTCGTTTATCGAAGACAAAACATACAATAAAAGATTCGTTATAGTAATATATCATAATATTCACGTCAACCTAATTAGCTACTGTTAGCCACATAAACTAAAATACCATAGAAAGAAGTACACTTGGTTTGTATACAAATAACATTAAATTAGTTACACATGGTTTATAAAGTAACCTGATCAGCTTTTATCAAAACTGTATAAAATGTCAGTAACTGCTACTTTGGAAAGTTTAAAAACATTCCCTTTATATTTGGAGTATTTACTTTATTTTGGTGGGGGGTCTCTAAGGTCCTTGATCTAATACTAAGTTTTGTTTTAAACTTCAGACTGTTTCCTGACATCATGACTTAATCAGCTATTTAACGTAAAAGCGTATTATTATTATTTTCGTTTCTATGAAAGCTTGGCGTATTGATTTATTTTAAACACAGACAATGGTGTGAAAGTTCACACATTAAACATGAGGAATTGTCTCTTAAAAAAAGAATAAATAAACACACATTTAGCGTGTTTCGAACATTAAGTTTTAATGTAATATTTTAATTCTGTGCTTTATGGGACAAATTGTACAACAAACGCATGATTCAATCTTAAAGTAATATCATATTCTATAATGATATTTATTTAAATTCGTTTCATTTCTTTCTTTTCGTGGTTATATACAAAACAAATGTTGAAACCATCTCTATACCTTTAATCGAGTGTCTCATTAACTAAACTTTCGGCGTGTACTTACTTACACAACAGTATAATATAACATTTTGTGTAAAGTTTACGAGGAAGTTATTTAGTATAAAATAACGTGTAACGTTCTTTCTTCTATTTATCAAATAATATTGGTTTCACTAAGTATGATAAAAGTCCCATGAATACTTATATATCATCGTAGAAATTAAATGAATTGTTAACAATTTGACGATAGATACTTAAATATAAGTATGAATACTTGAATACTTATGAATACTCATGAATACTTGAATACTTATGAATACTCATGAATACTTAAATATAATTGTAGAAATTCAACGAATTGTTAACAATGGACCATCGATACAATTTATTTTAGTGGAAAACTAATACTTTAAATACGGAGTAACGCTATCTTAAGTTCTCATTTTAGAATACTTGTTGCTTATTAACCATTTAGATTACACGCTAATGAACATAAAACCATATATGCATATAGTGACTGTTCAATAAAACCTGTATTGAGCAATACAAATAGACGCTTAGAAAATCCTTGACATTCTACACGGACTTTTATTTGGTTCTATTTCAAGATATCATCTTTACTTTAATACCGTTGTAGCCTCGTGATATCTTCCATCATTTTCTTTTAAGGTAGATATGATCATGATTAGAACATCAGTATTATTACTGTTTTTCAAGGCCATTCAAACTGACTTTTTGCAGTAAGTTTTGCTTCTACTGTTGTAAACATTCAAACAAATCAACTTATATAATATTGGTTTGTTTAGTAGAATTTTCGCGCTAAACTCCTCGAGGGCTATTTACACCAGCCTTCCCTTATTTTGAAGTGATAGATTAGCGGGAATGCAGCTAGTCAACACCAGCCACCGTCAACGAATAATGCGATTGACCTTCACATTATAACGCTCTCAAGACTGAAAGATAAAGCATGACCGGGTATGGATTTCGATCCCGTGACCTACAGATTACGAGTCATGCCATGACAAGCCCACGTTATAATACGTCAAAACATGTAAGTTGTTACAATGCTCCATTCTTAGTCGTGTCTATTATGTGTTTAACTGCTGGTTAACGTATATGTTATATCTACGATGCTAACATTCAGTGTGAAGTTATTCAGATAGGTATTGCTGGAGTTAAACTCATTATTTCTCGATATCATTCTTTTTTTTTGTAAATTTATGTATTAATTAATGCATTACTTGAAACAATTATGGAAGCAGTGAAAAGAATGGGTATGGAAGCCAGTGATTATGAAATTGTTGACTTTTATTGTACAGAAATTAGTTTCACCAGATTGCAGTCATATGTTTGATTGTTTATGCAGTGATTGGCCGTCATTCAGTAAATCAGGCAGTACACACTGGAATAATCATAAGGTCTGGTAGACGTACTATTTCCAGTAATATTATAGTGAAGGCACTCGTGATTTCCAGGACATAAACGTCATAACGAACGTATAGAAATAAAACTTTCGGTTCATAACGATTACTTCCTGCGAGAGATTGGTGCGAGACTTCATGTTTTAGTCAGAGCTGTATATGAACTAAAAGGATAATAAGCAAGTCTTAAACTCTTCAACATTAATGTTAAGTAATTCTGGTTACGTTATTTACGTGGTACTCGATAATACAGTAGAAATCAATGACTTGAGTGCGGGGATGAATATTACCTGCAGAAGAGTAAAGTACACCTAATCCAATGGACTTCCAGCTGCACAGAAACTAATATGTGTGAGATGTAATGAAATCTGACTTCAAAACTCTAGATAAACGAAGCTGGAAGAGGATGTTCTTTACAGATGAATCGAAATTCATATTGTTCAGCTACGGTCGGTAGCAGAGAGGAAAACGGTATTACAATCAACATACTAAACCTAAAGCGAAGAACGTGGGCTACAAGTGTGGGCTGCGTCTTAGTCAACGGTGATGGAGATCTACACAAAATTGATGTCATTTATACATCTGAAAAAAACAAATATATACTTATCTGTCATGTTAAACAGCATGCAGCAAATGTGGCGAAACGATACCTGGAAGGAAGAGGAAACCAATAGAATACTCATAACCATACATTGGCTGACGAGACTGTACGAGAGTACATGGAAAAGGAGGTGATCAGGTGGCAATCAAACAACTCGGCTGAATTTTGGACAGTATTACAATACATTTGGAGCAATATTTTGCAACCAGACATTGATAAAGTTACAATAGTGTTTAAACAGGGTGTAATGCCCTGATTATAGCAATTACATTTATGGTAAAAATGTGTTGTACTAATGATAAGCTGACTGTTTAGTTTCAAATACGTCTTGTTTATGACTCTTGTACGTGCGTTTACATAATTTATTGCATATTTCAGATTTCTTGGTGGACGTCATTATAGCTGTAATTTAGGAAGCGTTACTTAATTTAAAACTTAAAAAAAAATTAAAATATGATTTATATCAAATTTACGGAGCGATTTAATAGCCAGAAATAGCACAGTGCAATAAAAACTCTGAAATGTGTTAGATATGGCAGAAGTAATCTTTACGGTTTCTCTCCGCCTTTTAGTGAGCATAAAAGCACGTGACCAGTTCATAAAATAAACGCACTGGGTTACATAAAACAACATATCACAATAGAGAAAGCTGGAAATTTAATCGTATGGTTAAGGTATACAAGTTTGTAGCGTGTTCTATAACGAGAATACGTTCATTCTCTGTGGTGATATATGAAGCAGGTTGTTTAAAGTGTTGTGGCATCCATCGTGAGAGCTCACGAAAGTGTATGTATGCAAAAGAAGCGCTGAACGTTAGGCTTGGTTACAGACGTTTTCCGGATTACTTTCTCTGTATTAAAGTCGAGGTATTTTTACTGCCTTTCTCCTTAATTTGTATATTTCCCCCCAGTATTTTACGTTCTGTTTTTCCTTTTCTGCGAGAAACGCCCCCGATAAGCCTGATAGTCTATAACGCTAAAAAAAAATCGTGTTTCGATAATCGTAGTGGGCAGAAAAAAAGATATCCCATGTTATAGCTTTGCGCTTAACAACAAACAACCCGCAACGTGGTGATATTTGTCATCTGTTAAATAAGAACTTCGAATAAGCATTATTCTCGTTTGAAAGACAGGTAATTAATTAGTAGTTACCTTTGATCAATAATAAGCTAACTATACTGATCTAAACTAAACATCAACTTTTAAAATAGGAAAGCTTTTTTTTTTCATTTGTGTGATATTTTGACCAAGAAAAATAT